ATTTTCGCTTGACTCAGAAAGGCGTGACCTGCTTCCACTTTAGATCCTCAGCCTTCGAGGGCATTTTTATTTCACAACCAAATATAAAAAAGGAGTACCTCGTGGAAGGAGAGACAACTTGCTCTGCATTACTCTAGCTTTATTCACGCTTCATCCGAAACAAATATCCTCAGTCGATAGTAGAGAGGGGCAAACGCACACCGAAATGTTCCAGAGCGAATAGAAAGAACGAATCTAAACTGAATGTATATTCTGTATACTGTGAACATTGACCCTGGCGATGATGTGGCAGGTAGTATTGGATCACGTGCTATTAAATAGACCGTTCTTTTAAAGCTATTAGCGACAGAGCTATCAAGTCGTACGCCTCGTGAAGTGACGAAGGTCTCGCAGCACTGTTAGACACAAGAACGAAGTTGGCCATTAAGAACACTTACCACCTTCGTACTACTGTGCTCATTTTGCTTTCCAAACATTTTATCTATTTACTCAAACCGCTACTTTACGAGAAACCACGTGGTCGATTATGTACCGGTTAAGTAGACATCTGCTTTGCATGCTAAACGAAGAGATTAAAGTAAATGTCTCATACTTTGTGACGTTCATCGATTTGACAAAGTCTTGCAGCTTGAACTTCTACTAGGAAATCTCGCGAAGGAAACATCAAAAAATAAGTTACTAGAAGATTTTCAAATAAAGGTGTGCGTACACTTCTACACATACTCGCATGTTTAGAGATTTCGGCCAATGCATAGGAAATTGAGATGTTGTATTGATTTAATCGCTACTTTTGCTTGTCAACAAAATTTCTTTCATACTATTTTTCTTCTACTGGCCTGTTAGCCTCAAAGAAGCGCTGAATACTTCGAATTTTAGTCATTACTGGCCAAAGCACTTCAATAAAGTTGGGGTTAAAAATGTATCCGATTCATTTTCGAGATGAGGCGCTCATATCTAGTTCATTAATAGAAAAAATGCATCCCTTGAAACGTCCAAAGAAAATAATTTAAAAACGCGTGCTTTTCTAGAAACGTTTTTACCGAATTTACAGGAACAAAAATTTTATAGGGTGAAGCATTTCAAAGATCAAACACAAAATGCAATCAACCAGATAAAGGTAATTATTTAAAAAAAAAAAATTGAATGACCATTTATTTCACTTTAAAAAAAACTGTGTTTTTAAAACCCAAACAACAAGAGGTTTTCTTCACAGGTAGACTATTAGACAGCCCCCAATCTGAATAATCTGCATAGCGATTTAACAAAGCTGCAACAGTGGTCGGTTTATGAGTTTCTTAGCTAAGTCTTCGTGTCTCGTATTATCAAGCGCTATCTTCTGAGCGCCACGGTACAATTGACTAGTTTTATATGCAGTTACCTTTGACCTCCGAGGTCATATATATAGTGATAGCAAGCTACGTGCCATTTTATTTATATGCGAAATGTATGTACACACTTCATCATCTCAACTCATTATTACATAATACATACAAACATACATATCTGTAACAATGTAGTAAGTCAAAACAATGCCTACGACACTCTCCTGATGATGAGCGGAAATACATTGCCTTTAATTATATTATATAAATCCCACTACTGGTGTGCGTAAACTTCACCCGTCGTTATACTGATATCCAAAACAAAACAAAAATGGAAGATGACTGAGTAAACACAGTCTGCAGCTTGCGTCATATTTAACCGCCCATCTGCTTGTCTCGTATCCGTCATGTTGGCTAGCATTGATAGCACTGCTTATCTTATCTTAAACTTTGCCTTAATATATATATATATATATGTACATATATATTAAGGCAAAGTATATATATAAACTTCACTTAAAAGGGTAGCGCAAAATTCATCAGCGAACACCCGCACACCCCCACCCGTCTACCTACTATTAGTACTGTCCAATAGTAAAAATAGAGTAACAGAATTGCTGGCTCTGTCTTGCGCTTTTACTGATATGATATGGACGAACCACAAGCACTTTTCATAGTCACGAGGGATGAATCGTTGGCAGCCGGATGTTTGTTGTTCTGAGGCATCATCGACCCGTTGAAGCCACTGTGCGCCCAGTTTATTGATTTCACTAATGTTGATTAGGAGCCCGCCAATGAAGGGCCCAAAATAAATGATGTGGATGAAGGCGTGTAAAACTTGAGACGATAGCTAACTCGATTCGTTGAAGCTCACAACAGAGTGGATCAGTTGAAGTGAACGCGTAGCTTCCGCCGTCTTTCATTCCGTCCAACGACAATAACAATGAGCTCGCTTGGCCACCAATGGGAAACGCCCAATGCGGTGGCGCCGGCAGCTGACGGTAAAAAGCGCCATATTTAACCCAAAAAAAGGGGTGACTTGACTTCCCATCGATGACTTAGATAATTTTTACAGCAAAACCAGTGCTCTGTAACACAATTGAGCGGTACAGGGAGAGGTTAATTGCATGCGATGTCGTAACCTGTTTGTATTGGATTAGTATCGCGTTAAAGAAAAATGGTCAATTTTTAGCAGCGTTTGTGAAAGCAAAGTAGATGAGGACCATTGTTTTTTTTAAATACAGCCATCTACATTTTTTTTTTATGATTTCCATATCTGAGCCTTTACTTTTGGTGTTCCTCATTTGCTCCCGCTGTGCTCCGCATAAAATAAAGAGCAAACATCAATTAATTAATCAATCAGTTGAAACCACTTGAAAATGCTAATTAAGATGAAAATCTTGATTTATGTTGGAGGTACTCTTGTGGGGCTAAAAAAGTTGCTTAACGGAGAACAATATACTTAAACTATTTCTATATGAGTAGTGATAATATCATAGACAGTAGAGATACATATTTTGAGTAGCTGAAGCGTAAAAATTGTTACAAAAATAACGTAAATCACTAATTACTGTATAGTACATCTAACGCTGAGTAGCTAATCTTATATACTTTTAGCTAGGCATCTAAGTACCGATTGCGATCGCTAACTCGTTAGATTACCCCGAAAGTTAGTCAAATTTGTGTTTTTGCTTCAGGCTGTTTTACACAATTCTAATGCGGGAACCACCTTATTTTCTAGACTTTTCAGCGTCAAAATTTATGTCAACTGCTAGTTGGCTTAGCGGCGATCACAGGGACCAGGTTTAAAGCTTCTACCTGCGTGCAATTTCCGGCAAACAAAAACCATTAAGCAGAGATGCTAAGACGTGTGTGCAAGATCGACATATGTATATATACAAATAATTTGTTTTTTAGTTCTGTTTTTGTCAAGTTACTGGAAAATTGTCTAGCATTGTCTAATATAAAGTATACGCCACAATAATATAGGCTTGAATTATTGTACAAACAAATAGAATAAGTGTGCCTATTGATAAACTATGTATAGCGGCCCAATATATAGTACAGCTGCGTTATAGATTAAATCAAATACAAAAGCTTTGTGGTTGGTTATGGAATACGGAACTTTAATACCTACGTGGATTTGCAGTTCCAGTGTAGAACAATACATCGGTATTCGTCTGAGATCTTCATTGAGGGTTTCATTTTGGAGACAGTCTACACAAGGCGATTAATGGATCCGTATAACGTTTTTTTAAAAACGTTTACCATTATGTCAGAACCTTTGATGGCTGTCTATCTGCCTGTCAGAAAAGGTATTGCCCCTCAGGTCCTCAACACGATGTTATTCTATTCCTTATGGATGTCCGCATTACTCATGTCAGTAACTAAACAATTTGATATATGGCCGGCCACCAGAAACAAATCACGTTTACTTTTATAGCATTGAGTTAGATCTGACTGGTAATATGGCACAGTAAACAAGCACAGCAAATATATATCCTCGGATTACCGCCTGTTTCGATTGATCTGTATGTTAATAACGGTCCTTATCACACGCTTAGGTAGTGTTCCTAGTTGACACAGAGAGCGTCCCTTCAGTATCGTTTATTTCCTCCAGTCTCTGCCAGCATCCCGCCGAAGTTCCAAAGGATCGCTGTGATGATCCTCATGGGTAACCAGGATGATTCTGTTCTCTGGAGCAGGTTTGTGATGGTGGTGATGCTGCTGTTGAAGCAACCTATGATAATGGTGATGAACCCTTGAAAAAACAAAAAAAAACGTTTCTCATAATAGAAATTAGACAGAAAACACGTCATCGATAAGGAGTTGCGCTCTCCGTTACGCTTATCAAACAAAAGCTCGATTGCTGTACAACGAAATAAAGACCCAAGTCGAGTATCGTTCGCGCTATACGCGTACGATTGTGGGTCGTATATATACGCATCTAGACATTATATATATATGCTGTGGATCGGTTGTCAAAAGTGTGCGTACGCGAAGCTCATCGAGCGGCCAGTAATGAATAGTGGTTGTGAGATTTTAACCGATGTATTATGTGTTTCTTGTTACTTTCTTTCGGCTAAATCGCCTAGTCAGTTCTACTGAGTTGCGTCGTCTAACAGGCTTTATGGGATTTATTTTGTCCCTTATTTTTGGCAATGGCCGACAAACAATGCCTGCACTATTAACAAATCGATCCGTTTCAGAAGTCTATTCAGATCCATAGAATCTGCACACGGATCAGCATATAGGCTTTTATTTTTATTCTGCTCCTGTCCTTATTGAACATCTGTTCAACAACAGTTTATTTAAAATATGCAGCTCCTCTAACAGAAAAACGGGTCTCCCTCAGTCTAGCGTGATCCGAATGACATCTCGATGTATCCAGAATCCTAAACGAGTTTCGGTATTCAGTATGAAACGTTATTTTTGTCCGGGCAGCCGACTGGCCTGCCTTGTTCGTGAGTCATGTCGGCTATCCGAACTTGAAACGAGCCTCCGAAAACAAGAGCGTAACGGTTTACGATTGAATATTCCAACTTACACTACGTAGGTGAAAATATAAGCACGCACTGTAGGTCTATGTGGTCTCTAATTTTTTTTTTTACAAAATACGGAGTGTATGGCGTGTGATGATGGTTAAACTTACGGCACGGGCACGTGAACTGGGACGGGCACAGCTATTGGCTCTGGAACTGGCACAAAATGCTCGCGTTCCTCTGAACTTTCGCATTCAGAACTTGAACCACGAAAAAACTTTTGTCTCTTGGCCCACTTCTTCGCCCATTTTTTCTTTTTGTGTAGAAGGCCTGCGTGGCCTTCTTGCCTGCGTGAAAAATGAATTTGCCACTCTAAATATATTGAAAAAGCTACAAGCGCGAAATATCTATGTGAGTGAAATAAAGTATTAAATAAACCAACTAAAAAAAGGGCACCTTATCTGCTTTTTTTTTCTCACTTTAGACAAACAAAGACATCACAGACCTGGCATTACTGAAGCAGACTTAGGTGTTAAGTACCCACCTGGAATAGGAGGATACTTCAACACTATATCAACAATATATATTATATATTTACATTGTATTTATCAAAGAAAGAGGCAAGAGTGTTAGATCGTTCCATATTGACGTCAAGCGTTGGGTCGCATGCAATTTGAATTCCAGTCATGCTATCTGATTTCTAACTAAAATGTCCGAGTTGAATAAAGCCCATTTGACCGCCTGATACTGCGCCTAATTTTCACAGACAGACGACGCTCATCTTCTCTGAGCTAACCTTCGGCGATTGCAGTTTAATAATAACCCTACATGTAGTCAGCGTTCATCTGATTCTGAAGTGGCCAAATCGATCACCTAACGATGATTAGCAAGCTTTGTTATATTATATCAGCTAACTTCGATAATATCCCATATTAGTATATGGTATATAGTATAAATACTGGCACATTGAATTCAAACATAGCGTTATGGATAACGGTCTTTGCAAACTCCCTCGCAAATTATACGATACACTGGAAAAGAGAGATCGAAAATGCATCGTGACTAAGCCGGAGGCAAAAACTTTGCCCCTTTGCCACATCAAACTACGGAAGAGTCTTTAGCATTCTTAAATAATTTAAACACTTGCCTGTATCCGTCGAGAGTTTTCTATTTGCAGTAATATGGAACTTTCAGTACTGTTCACCAGAATAACCTGACAGACCGTAATACCATTACGCGGACTTCGAGGGCAAGCAAACAACGCATGCCTCATTTAAAAGCTTGAGCAAAAATGTTCAAATGCTGCTATATCCATCTCATTGTAACATCACCCTTTGCCCATATCGAACCTTACGCAACCACTTCACGTGAATGCGTAGAAGTTAGTCAATAGCTATATAGAGAAAAACCTCAGTCGATTTTTCCTGTCTTTGTACCAAATCATTTTTGCCTTCTCGATCACGATCGGTTGATAGCCTCTTCTGCTAAAATATAATACTTCCATCCTTTTTTGCGAGACAGGTTCTCTAAAAGTGGCATGATTACGTTCAAAGATAATAGAAATTCAGCTTCTGTCTATCGCTTCTCTTTGCACATTTTTTCGTTTTTTGATAGCTGAGCGTTATCTACCGTTGGAAGGCTGTCTCTTTGATTTCAAAAATGGATACGTTGAGGTGGCAACAGAGCGAAGTTCCAATACGTACGTCCTTCAGAAGGTTTCCAATGTCCAATTTCCAACTGGCGATGCAATCCAGAAGAACTGTACAAAAAAAAAAAGGAAGAATTATCCCTTTTAAAACGTGGCTGAACGCGCTCTTCGATCAATTCGTAAGGTCGAGTAGAAAGCATTCTATAGATTGAAGATGCTATTCTTAAACGTTGCAAGCCATCTTTAAGTAGTATTATAAACTGTAAAAATCTTCTCTTATACCTCACGAATATATCGAGCCGTTGCGGAAGCTTCGTTGACTTATAATACCTGCTATATAATACTTAGTTATCAGCAAGCCAACAGTAGGTAAAAATAAATAACAATCAGTAAACAAAAAGCTGTGTGTCCAAGAAACGTCCAACGCGTCACTATAATCGATCACCTATTTTCGCTACCTTGTATCGAGCCTATTCGGTAGCTTCTATTTCTGTGTTTTACTAATTCCCTAAACATTGAACAATAGTGCGTTTTTTAGCAGGGGCTCACGCAAAACGTGACCTTTTGTTTTGGATTGACATTTCAAAGCGTACATATTACTTTACGGATAGTTGCAAATCAAAATGCTCCATTATATAGACCTTTACGTAATTCACATTCATATTATATGTGTATTTGTGCCGTGTATGGACGTGCAGATCCGCCATTAAAATCTATCTTATGCAATTTGAATACAAGTTTCAGGTGCCGCACGTAGCAATAATCAAAAAACAGCTTTTTCAAAAAAATATAATAAATCAACATTTTTTTTTTCTGAAAAAGTCGCATAAAATCGTTGCAGTCAATAGGAGAGTCCCGGGAAGGTTATTGGCAGGTTGATTGCAGTAGTTGATCCCGACACAGCTTCCGCTCTGTCACCACCGAAGAGCGCCGATATTAGAACAGCCTCCTCTAAATATGACAAACACCTTATCTTATCATCATAAACTGCGAGCAGTATAAACACACGTTAAATTACGCACTGTGTGTCCAAATCTGCAGACAAGACAAAGAGCCCAAACCTCCTATCCAGGTTATCATCTGAAACCTTTTTTAACAGCGTTTTATTACAACTATCTTTGTATGATTCATATAGTTTAGTCAGTCTTGCGGTCCGTACGATCGAGGGCTTGTTCAAATAGCGGCTGAAGAGGATGTCTTCCTTAAACAAATTAACAGCGGACTAAACACCCAAGGAAGACCTTGGGCAGTTATCAGTAAAATATAGGACTTGAAAATGTTCCTCGTTCCCGGAGAACAATTAGTGCGCCCGAGCATTAATTTTAAGCAAGAGTCTTGCCGACTATGTCGTATAAAAAAATCTGTTAAATTGAAAGAGCTTTTCCAAGTCAATAGATTTTCTAAGCAAGAGTTATTGTTTTCCTAGTAATTCCGGTCCGACTGTTATAAAAACGCAAACCTTTTTTTGCTTGAGATAATGTTGTTGCTTCTGTCAGATTATCTGGTAGATAGATCTGGTATCGATCGAACTCGCTTAAGGCTTGCTACGTTATCTGCTCAGTTTTTCCGTTCAACTTCAAAGTAGCGCGCGATCCCCAGACACTTAAGAAACCAATGCACTCATGTTATTGATGCTATTTTATTTGCAAGAATCGGCTAATAAATTCGAAGGGACCCCATGGCGGTTATGATGTTTCTACAAGAAAAAATTATAGGATTTTAATGAAACTTTGCTGCGTTGGGTTATTTTTGTAATAACACACGCGCTTTTTTCAGCCAGCGATGAGGTTACTGTTTAGATAATGCTTAAAGAATAAGGAAAAAAGCAAACGAAGACTTCAGCGAGGAGAAACGTATAGTATTAAAGCTTAAAAACAAACTATTCGGGGTTTTTACGTTAGGAAACTCCGAACGAAGTGCTTTTATTACGCTAGTGAACGACTATTACATAGTCGACATATCTAATAATAAGAGTCCGGACTAATTGAAAGAAAAAAACGTACTCCTCCCTAAAAGTGATGATATACTTACTTTTTTTTTGCTTGATGCATTCGAATAGCCATGGCCGTAGCCGTGGCCTACCTACCTAACTACACCTGCAAATGGCGCAAACGCAAAGCCGTACTTGACTAGCTTTTTCATTTTGTCTGCATCGGCCGAGTTGTCCCATAAGATTGTTAGCATCAATATCGATCCCGCTAGTATCAATGATGGCGTGTTCAAGCGCATCTATAACGGGTGGAGAAGGACAAATGATTTTAGCACAATTCGAAGATCTTTCTAGTGACCATCACTGTCTTCAAATGATCCAGTTCTATCGTAACAATGTGATCCTGTAATATGCACTAAATAATAAAGATTCTAGCAACAATTATATTTTAATATCATTCTAAGACAGGATATCCTGTACTTTGGCACAGATAGAGTGTTTTACCGTGGAATTTAGACGTAAGACAGTTTTAGCATTTGATGGAAGGACCGTAGGTTTCTGAAAATGCCCGGCAGACCCGATTAGTATATCGGCAGAATTGGTAGAGGAGCACGAACAGATTTACATGTGAACATAAATGAAGCCTACGGTAGTCGTAAAGACAATCATTAAACAATACCGCTTGGTTAAATGTGCGATATATTCAAAAATGTCTTACCTGCCAAAAGTACAATAGACGCGATATTACTAGATAAAGATTTCGAACTGCATTATGGGAGCTACTCATATATTTTCTAGACATCTTTTTATTTAATAGATTATATATATATATATATATATATATATATATAGCGGGCTCCATTCAAACTTAATTGGAACTAGTACATTTTACAAAATATTCCCGCAATCTAAAAAAATCGTTGGAGATGGAATTTTTGTAAGTAAATAAAGCTACGTATCGACAAAATATAATCTCTGGGGATGGATTGCACCTACATACATGGGATAATTAAATAAAATTAATTATATACTTCAAATGAATTAGATGGATCTGTTTTTCGAAATTAGAGCATCGTATTGTTTGTGATCATACCTACCTTCCACCGTTTCTGTATATTCCCCAACTAATCAGTGGCCACCATGTTAAATTTAGGTCTCCCGGTTAGATTACATACGCAGAAGCGCTTGCTCGGTGTAGAATCATCAGTATAGTGAAATCTCGTTTTTGTGTTGAGGGGTCTTTGTTGTGAAACGGACCTTGCTTCGTAGTTAGGATGCGTATAAAGTAAAGGTTAGGAAGTCTAAATATTGGCGAAAATGATAGCTTCCTGGAAACGGGATATACATCAGACCGGTAGCTTCTTATGAATTTATCTAAAATACGTCGCACACCTACAGTAATAGAATAAAAGGATCAACGACTTTATTAGTTCCAGATAATAGTTGTCCTTAGGCTCGATAATTATGTTTAAACTAACTTCTCTCTAACCGTATCCAACAAGAGGAATATGAAAAAGTTGGCTTAGATTATCAAAGCTTAACTTATATTACTTGAAGTTTATTATCAACCTGCTTATGACTAAACATCACGTGTAAACAAAGCATTTCTCACACTAAAAGCTACAAGGGTAAAGCGAAATGGCTGGACAGCGTTCTTGGCTCGAGTGTGCGCCGTTGATCGACCTTCGAGAGGTAGAACTGGTAAGTAAAGATGATATAACATTAACTTGAACTAGCTGTGCTTTTTCGTCTGACAAACGGTCGGTAAAAATTGACAGATCTTGGTTGTGCCTTTACATTCATTGAAATTTTTCACGCTGAAAGAATATTGATCGTTAACCGGTTAATCCGTTAACCGGTGACAAGATGTTAGCGTTTCTCCAGCTATTGATTGTTACAGGAAGCGTTCGAGCTTCCTGTAACAATCAATGCAACATAATAACAACTTCACTCAATCACTTTTAAGTTCTCGTTCTAACATATTTCTGTCAAAATAGGCACCACTGGAACATTTCGCTTGACTCTGACATAAGCGGTGCCGATCAGCGTCCGAGGTGCCTTTTATTAAAACGCCGGTATATCACAAAATTTTATTTCTATTTCATTAAAGTCATTTAGCAGCCTTATTATAAGGTGGCTGGTCATTCAAACTGGAAAGTATTTTGCGATCTTTTAACGATTCAAAACCCGCCTCTGGACCTAACCCGTTGAATAGCCAAAAACAGGAACAGGCTTTGCTGCGTATCAAAAACCTAGGTAAATCTATGGCGGATATTTTTGCTCGTAACATTACGACCTCATGGGCTTCTATCCTCGCTCTGTAATTAGTTACCTACACACGTATACTTCTAGTCTCAAAATCTTGCCCCACCTATTCCATTTTCCCGACGCATAAAAGCGATCCTTGTTTAAAGCGAATAAAGGTAGATCTCGTTTTTGATTATGGCTCCCTGCGATAATCCCATTGAAATCAACATAACTGTTTACCTAGGGAGGTAGAAAAAAAATCGCTCAAAATACGATAATATCAAGTTCGTCACACTTCATTGTTACACAAGTTTGCATAGAAAATATTTAAACCTTCACCAGCGTAATTTTTAATAATAAACTACAAAACAAAACAAATTTACAGCTGTACAATAGTGTTAAATGCTCTGCGGAATATAAACGTATGATTACAATATAACCGGCGGCTTCGAAAATGCCGCCCGACTCGCATTGTGACTACCGTGACAGGGGAAAACTGTCCATCCGAGTCGTCAATTTCAAGCTACAACACTGATTTTGCATAAATAACTCCATATTATGACTCAATTAGAGTAAAAACAATTTCGGACTTCGGACAGGCGTAATAATCGTAGCGTTTTTACTAGACGATTTAGATCATTTATATAGAAGAACGTATCTGATTGCCGTTTATACGCTGGGAACATAGACGATCGTCGTAACCAGGTTTTATATCAGTTCTGAGTTCGAAATTCCCCAGTCCAGAGGACTATAAAAGAGACTCAAGCAGATACCTGTAGAAGCGTCTATGGACTGCTTCTAAAGAAACCGTGATGAAAAGTAATTAATATCAGGCTATAGTTGAGCGTCAGAGCTATAACGTTTAAATCAGAAGTCAAGAAAGGTACGAATCCTATGCGATAGCATCTGTCTGCTCGAAAAGAGGACGTAGGTCTTGTCGCGTACGGCAGGTGTGCTAACTTGTTGCACAAAACAATATCACACAATGTCATGTTTCGATACTGACAGTCTTAACAAAACACAACAACGGAGTGAGTGAGGTTTACTCTATTTCACTGTTTTACTCCATTGGCTAAAAGTTGATACGTTATATTTTGTCGTACGTTGTGTATTATAACATCTTCCGGCATTTATTTCTAATATTCCGTTACGGTATAACTGATAGCAGGTGTTTGTGTATTCAATTCGCTTAACCCAATTGTTTTATTCGATCCATCATTAGTCCACTTTAAATGAGCAGGGGGTTCCTGTTATCCTGAGGAGTTTAGGTATCCTGACGGTCTCAGCTGGTCGTTTTGACGCAGTCGTAGTTATGAATCGAAGATTTTCCATTAGCGCCTACTTTTTTAGGCCGCCATTATTGCTTTTCTAGACGGCGCCCTATGGTAGTGTTCGCAGGATTTTAGGGACAATCACTGTGGGCCATCTTCAAATCGAAAGCCTAATTCTTGGCCTATGTTAAATTTGCGTCTTAATAGACTCTTCTCTTTTATGAACTGGAAACTAGTCTATTCAATATCATTCTTCCTAGAAGCGTTTATGTTGGAGACTGTGCTCGTTTAATAAGAAGACTGATTCAGTTCCATGAAAATTAATAGTACGTACTATTTGTTCAGTGACACCGTCTGATGCTTGATGATAGGGTGCACTGATCTTTCTCTCGGATAAAAGCTATTCAGACTGTCTTTCAACATTGGACATGTTTATCCTGTCATTTAAATGGAAATATATTCATTTAGCAATGGCGTCAGTCGCTATCAGTAGATAATGATATTACGGCGGGTTAATGTACCTATGGCGGTAATAAATGGCCTTTTTAAGTCATAAGGGAGAAGAACATCAGACACAATGAGATTCTGAGGTTAATGAAAGAAATTTCGTTCAAGTGCTCTAGTAACTTGTATATTATTAATTTAGAAATATCGACCATTTTAACAAACAAATAGCGAATTTTATAATATTTTTGTGTCTCTGCATAAATATATTTTTACGTCGAGGGGCTTTAATAGTGGCACGTACCTTATATTTTGTTCTGAATATAAGGAGCCATAGAAGTCTGTATAGGTTTGCGTTCTTTTTTCAATCAAGTCATCGATGTTTATACGATTGAACACTTGCGACATCTTATAAATGTTGTTTCTTGGTTTGTCCAGCAAAGGAAGGATCATGTTGATATCCAATTGACTATTCTAGCTTCTATTTTATCCATAGTTCTTAACACATTTGAAGCAAATCTAGCAAAGTCCCTTATTACGCTCGTAAACTCATATACACACCACGGTGTGCGTTTAGCACAAAATATTTTTACTGCTACGTGCATGTATGCTGCATGTTGGAATGTAAGAGCTAATTGATCAAGCGCTTTTAATATTCGTGGCAAAGGGTAACTGTTGATTTATTCGAGCTTGAAAATTCTAACCATATTATCCATTTTACAGTACAGTGCACGATTTTGTCATGCATGCATGCATGCATGGGCGTTCGTTTTGCTTTAAAATAATGATACGATTTTACGATAATAATACCTAGAGATTAAACTTTTATTGCAAATTATTTAACCGGTCTTCCAATACTATTGGACCTGGTATTCTTATTATCTATTGATTATTCAGCTTTAGTTCACGAAACCATGCTCCGGGGCCTGATAATGTAGGACACATTCAAATACGATATATGAATTATGTGGACGTGCAACAAACTTATTAGAATTATAACTATATCGCTAGAAGTTCGTTAAGTTC